AGAACAAGGCACTGCATATCTCTGATATACTTTTGCTGGTACATACTAACTCACCGTGAGTTGACAGTAAGAACCTGGACATGTTGCTTAAACGGATGCAGTAGGGTTAGGATGCAGTAGAGCTAGGTAGACACAGAGGATATTAGAATATTAGAATTTATCGCAAATGTTACCTTTTCAACAATATACAGAATTAAGGGCTTAATGGAGAACAACAATGTGGCAAAATCCGCTGAAAAACAATGTTATTCCACAGATCAGTTTAAATAATCTGTAGTACTACTTCCCGCAAATAAACCGATCTTGGTGCCAAAACGTATAATCTACAATGCTATCCACTAGCCGAAAGGTATAAACAGTGTTGTACTCGACAAATGCACAGCACTCGCAGTAATGACTTGGAACTCGTTTCTGAACTAATTTTACAATTGTACCACTGATATCTCTCAGTACAACAGAAGCGTGAACATACTTAAGTGAACGACATTTAATCCATTTGAAAATGTTGTATGCATTGGATGGCGCATGTTGCTGGAAAATGTGTGCTTGTCAACCTACAGTTTGTTTGCACACATAGTTTTGAAACAAGCCTACGTTTAGGTATGTTTGTTCTGAATCGCTTTGTGACAGTATGATATACAGTTCCATTTTTTAAAACGCATATCACCGGTTATAAGATATAACAGCAGCAGACATTTCGCGTACCGCGATGTATCACACTGAATTATCAGTTATCAGGTGGTCATGGTGAATTGCATTTATAAGAGGGAACGCAACAGATATAATCATCGCATGTTCCGCCCGCTCAAGCAAAACTATACCAGAACATAATGCCGCACCAGTTATTTCACAAGTCAATCATGTTTCTTGCTGCTTGCAGCGAAACTGTAGGATCATTTCCTTGTTCCACGGCATTAGGGGTAAGCAGAACCATTCTTAATGATTCGAAACTGACACCTATGGAACCAGAAACGTTCTAACCTCTTACAACTGAACAATCCTTCACTGACGAAAAGCCAGTTCCAACATTTCAAACTTTTGCAGGGTGAACCGGTTAATATTTGAATATTTTTTTTGCTTGCGGCAGGTACCAAGTTCTGATCGAAAGGTTAGATTTCGGTCTACATTAATGATTTAGATTTTTAGCAAACTTGACTATGTAAAAACAAACCTTTTAAATTTTGTCATGGATAGGTGAGTTTAAATGAATCGTTCTTATATAGTAAAATTAATGCCCTTCATCAATTTACACATTAACCAGCCAAATTCCATCACACGTGCTTGGTGCCGAACCAGCCTCAATGCACGCGATCAGATCAGAAGCACCACGTTATCTGCCAGTCTGAGATGAGATGATATCATGGCACATAGAATTTTTGCAGAAAAGGTACACTGAAAACCATTCATCTGTACAGGTGATTTATTTAAAAAATGGAAATATCTTCTTTGTAAACCAAATATCAAATATCCATCTTAGCAGGCGTGCCCTAACTATTAAAGAACGCTGTGCTGCGATAACATGAATTCCATTTTGAACTTAGGAGCCACAATTTGCTACAGACTACACGGTAAGTTTGCGAAACATAATAATCCTGTAATAAGGAGGGAAAAATAGGAACACTGAAATGGAATGGCACTCTTATTCTCCTAGTGCCAACGCTGGTTTCTATATTTATATCATCACCTATGAGCGTCTTATTTTTTAAAGGCAGAGTCGACAATCATAGTGCTTAGTCTCATTTTTCTTCCCACAGAATGGTTCTCAAGTATCAACCTCAGAAGGAATAAAAGAAAGTGCTCCTGATCTGGATCGAACCCGACTAAAGAACCCCGGGCACCTATAATAAATCTTCACAGAAAGAAAAACTTAAAACTAATTATTTTTGAAAAGAAAAAAATTTGCAACAAAATTAACATTTATGGAACGTGATGCGTAAGGTAAGCTTTTTGATTCGCTGTGCTGAACAAACCATAAAATGGGACAATTAACTAGAGAAAGTTTTGATAACCGCAAATACACTGTTCTGTAACCAAACAAAAACTTATGCAGCTATAACTATCAAGAATCTGTGCAGCGCGGCGGTGTCGTTGTTTGAGTCATGTGACAGAAGCAAATAAAAAGAAAACGTGATTACCATGTCATATTTTTTCAAATGACTTGTTACTCAGCGAAACAAATATATACAACATGTGAACTGAATACTATTACCTCTTAAACAAAATTTTTTCAACGGCACCTAACTGGGCAACGTATGCGTTCATTTTCTTCTGGAGCATGTCCCTTAACTAAAATTTCGTTGAACATTCGGTAATCGCAAACCACAAGCAGATGACGATGGATAAACGTACCTTTTCCTGTTTCCTTTCCTCCAACAATCGCAAAAGGAGATCGATCAATGTGTATGGCAGCCATACAGGATATCCAGAATCAGTCAGAGTAGTCTAAATTTGGGTGAAAATGACGAGAGCGTGGCATATGAACAAAAGTCAAAACTAATTCACAAAAAACAAATTCTCTTATAGGTACTGATAATAGAATCAAAAATATACATGACATTCCGGATTCAACAGAGATTTTGACAGCACTAAAATTAACATAACTAATACTCTAGATTCACAAATTATTCTAAACGAAATCACACCGTCCCTTTGTTTCTAGAGGCATACTGGACAGTGTTTCACTTAAACGTCTCCGATGCGTCAAGAAAAGAAATGATGCTATGATTTCACTGCATAAATCCGGAGGGAAAACTGACAAGACTAGACCATAATAACCAGTGGTATCGAAAACTAACTTTAGCAAGTAAGCCTAAAATATCATCAGAATACTTGCATGACAGCGATAAAAAGTTTTATGCGGTGTTATTCCATTTGTGACTTGCCGAAATATAATGTCAACTTCCACCTAAAGAACTCATTGTCCGTGTATATATCAGTATATATACTGATATATACACTGTAATCCGTATTATGTTAGTACCTTCGTGGTGGACATCGAAAATGATTATCATCACTGAGTTGACGATTATGAACAAAGGATTACCACTGTGATTATCATCATAGTAGAGTTGATTATCGCAAGCGTTATCATCAATGCAACTTTAGCAAGTCACGGTGATGATTATTAGGAATCATTAGGATGTAATCCGTGTTACACGACATTTCAAGAGTAACAACTACGAAACAAATGTAACGGCTAACGCATGAGAAACAATAGCCTTCTCGAAGGACAGACCCACAAGACTAGCTCGTAACTGGGAAAAACGAGAAGGTCCATTAGGCGCAGGATTTCGACGGCTTCCGACCACAGTGAAAAAGTGACTATCATTCAAAAAATGAAAGACATGAGACGTAGGGTAATACGCAATGCCGTATTTGTCTATTTCAGACGAAAACAACGAATAGGTTTGAATCCGCAAGAGAAGGATGGGGAAATACGAAGAAAACGGTGGCAAGAAAAGAGAGAAAGAAAGTCTCAAGCAAAGACACAAGACGTGAAATGAAAGCCGTCATGTAGACTGCTCTGTTCTAAAATTCACGGGGCAGCATCGCTGAAGTAAGTCGTTTGGCGCTGCACTGCATGTCAAATGTAAGGGCTCAAATCCACACTTCATATAAATTTATTTTATTAACCAATGTTTCCCTTTGTTATTTCGCAAATTACAAATGCAAAATAATTTCGCCATAGTTTGATTTGCGTCCTGTTTTTATTGTGACTTATTTACCACTAAATTTGTGCATATTTTCCGATACTTTTATTTACGATAAAAAGTAGGATTGTTTGGCGACCCCACTGAGGCACAAAACTTGCACTTTCACTTTCAACTTCATACATCACTTATCAGAAGAAACATTCTGAAAAGTTGCTCACTGTGATATTGAAATCTTCCGGATGTGACCCACATGTTGCGTCCACGTATTGACACAGCAATGCTTGAGCCTCTTCCAGCCGGTCGAACTGAATTAGGGCCGAAACTAGGTATGAGAAGTCGTGCTTCTAAAAAACAATGATTACAGCAAACGGTAGGCCACAATGAAGCTTACTTAACCATCGTTTCAGTACAGTTGTTTAATTAACTACTGATCACCATAAAATACGGAGACATAACCATAGTCTTCATGAGAAATTACTGTTATTCATTGTTAAAGTGCGTAAAGGCTTAGCAGTGCAAAGAATGTTATTACACTAAGCTGCTAGTCACCTCGAGAGGTAGAAAGAAAACCAACAGAGCAAAGGAAGTAAAACACTTTCGATTACGTGTATTATGCTCCCGTTAATCGAAATATTGACTTTTGTCACTGTCAGTCATATATAAAACAATTGTTTTTTCCAAATTTGTTAATGTGTTGTATAAGTTCTGTCCAAATGGGGTTTTTAAATTCCCTTATTTTTGGCATTTTTTCTAACCATAACTCACATCCGCGACATGAGGCACAACTCCTGCTGCAAACGATAAACCGCCGGAAAAAAAGGTGGCTGTGCCTGAGCTTACAGAGGAAAACTTCGAGCAGGCAAGGACTCACAGAGTTGTACTCTGGAACACCATTCGGTCAGAATGAAAGGCAAGCAGATATTCTCTCGAAAATGCTTGGCAAGTATGGACGGTAGGCAAAACCATTTGCCAAGGCCGAGAGAGACACAACTGATCCCCAGTAATCTGCGTGCAGCTCCGGTCAGACTAAGGCAAACTACATCGTACGACTGAAAGGATGATCAATGAACTTCTACGATAACGTATTCATACCCAAGTGGCTAGAAGCGCCCAACTGGAAGACTTGAGCTCATATGGGACGATGAACCAAAAGAGATATATAGAAACTTTGGGCGAAAAACCACATAAGTCAGATCAACTTAGGCATCGAAACTGGTAATGGTGATCCCAATTCATTAAGAAGACGGATCAATCAAGTGATGGTGTAGTTGCTGCCAATAACAGACCACTGCTGTTTACTGCTGTCATAATCGTGGAATTCTAGCATCAAAGTGAATAGGCAAGAATGGCCATGCGACAGAGCTAAGCCAGCAACCAACCCTTTATGAAAGATAAAACTATTGCGTTTAATTTCTAATCATGAAAGTTAGTATTTCAATAAAATAATAAAGATACCCGATTCAAACGGCAAAAATGCACAGTGCAAAGAAAGAAAAAAAGGCTATTCATCACTTTACACCCTCAGCACTATTGCACAGCCCGTTGTTTCTATTCGTCTAGCAGGAAGCATTTAAACAGGCCACAGTTACATGAAACTTAAGCACTTGCAGTGCACAGAAGACAAAGAGCCTCTCAAACATGGGTTAAAAAATTAGTATTTGTTGAATGTGTTCACTCAAAAAACGGGGAAAATCACACATAAGATATCCAAGCTTATGCTATTTTGCTGTCATCATCAGCTACTAATCAATCTTCCAGACATGCGGAGAAAGCAACGACGACATTCGAAAGGTCATTGTACACCCTGAGAACGTTTCTGAAGTAATACCAAAAAAAGACAATTTGGTGGCATAAAACAAATAAGGCGATCCCCGAAACATATGCTAGTTTTGGTAGACATCCACGACAGAGTGAGAAGGATAGTTCGAAGTAGACGCGACCAAACAGAAGCACTCCCTCTGTGGTTAGGGGTCCATTAACGTTCAGCACTGAGATGGTTTCTGTTTTCGATGGCGGCAAAGGAAAAATTAAAGAAGATCAGAAAGTAGCTCCGTATTGCATGAGCCATGCAAACGACGTAGTACACAGAAGTGGTATAAGCAAAAACTGAGCCATGAAGAAGAGTCTCTGAGAAAGCAGCATTTATATTCGTAAAGGCGAGTCAAGGTGATCGAAGAAAAAAATATTCCTTTCTGAAAGCAGATCTAGTCTACCTTGATTATTCAGGTTACACGTTGGCTTCCGACAATGCGAAGGCGAGTCAAAACTTGCGGCTGGCAATTTCAATGGGGAGAAGAGAAGGAAAGTCAACGAATCAGTGAAAACTGCGGACAAAGTGTTGTTCAAAACTCACGTCTGAAAACAATTTTGAAATCGGCGGTGAATTAAAAAATCGGTCGAAGAAAGAGTAGTTCAAAAAACAAAAATTGAGCAGACATGTTCATCAAACTACAGGGAGATGTTAGAGAGTGATAGAATGACTGGTACTTCTATACAGAGCAGTTTCGTTATCGTGAAGAAACATGACGAGTAGCAGAATTCAATGTAAACGGCAGTGCTCAGACTGATATGTGCTGTCTTCAAGAGGAGCCAAATTTGGAAGGGCTACATAAGAGCATAGCATCAGTCATCTGAAGAGTAGCACCAATTTCAGAAAAGCTGATGGAAAGCAGGCTTCGTTCGTTTGGCCGTCTGAACAGAAGATCGTACGAGCATGTTGGAAATGTGGTCCAGCTGATATTGTCAGGGAAGCAAAGGTAGTGGAATGTCGAAAAGATAAATATGAAATAGCGAGGAATGACCAAAAATTTGACAAAACATTGAAAAACATGGAAGCAGTTGACTCTAACAATGGACCGCCATTAAAGAAAACATTAAGAAATTAAAGACATTGTCACCGTCAGCTACTTCCACAAAGAGCTGAAGAACAAACTTGCCAAAAAAATAAAAGCATTATAAGTGTCTTAAATGGTGCGACAATTCACAGTAAGCAATGCTGGGTGCTAAGACAAAAATCTCATTTCTCGTCACCAGCAGGTCCGAGGTTAAAAACTAGTCAATAAATTTTCATTCACATTTGAATAATTTCAATCTTTTAATAACTACACCCATTGAAAGAGAAGCGTATGATAAATACGGAGCAAACGTAACCAAAAAGTAAAAAGCTGTTGTTACCGTTTCAATATAACGAACGACATTTTTCTTCGAGACGAAATTGAAATTGTTTATGGCATGATAACAACAACGACTTACTTTAGCCAGTTTCAGAAGCCATGGCGGTATCGACTGGCAACAGACGAACAGCTGCGTCAGAACACAATTAATTATGGGCGGTTTTGGATGCGTTTCACACAACTCCGTAACAAAAGATTCGAGAAATTTCCAACTGATTCTATTTCAATAATCATTTTATGTTCAGGCACGCAAAATAAGGCATGATATACGTACTCGGAGTGGCCAGCGTGCGTATTTGAAATTCGACCGGAGACCGTGCCACCTTTAACGTATTCGATTCCAACACAGCTGCAAATGTGACATGATAAAAAGTTACAAAAAATGTCATCAGTAAAATATATAGTATCAATAAGTAAAAAATACACGTTCATCAGATTTTCGACTAGTTATCAAGGAGCAGGTTCCAAGGCGAAACTAAAGCCTCACTATCAGATGTCCAAGATAAGTACTGACCATGACCATGAACTCGTACAACGCGAATATCATGTGCACACAGCCAAAAGCAAAGTGCAGAATGATGAGACTGTGACCCTTGCAATTTCCGGCTGCGAAACGCAAGCGAATCGAGAATACAAGGAAAAGCACAAAAACAAGGACTGCACAGTGGCCTTTGCGCAAGCGAAGAAAGCAATTCGTGATACCAGATTCACTCAGCATAAGCGCACTGTTAACTTTTTCGTAATAGCAAAGGGAACCGTTCGAGGAGGCTACGGTTTCTTGGCACCTGCAGAGCACTGAATGCAGAACCGCATTTCTGAAATATGCTGAACAAGGGCACGATCGAGCACCGACAGTCGATTTAGCAGTTGCAAAGCATTGGTGGAAACAGCCAAAGGCGGGGAAACCGCTAACGAAAATACTATAAGATTTATTAATGCGAAATGATAAAGAAATAAAGGCTCATCGTATGGATATTGCGTTGATAGATAAAATGAAAAGGCGCGCAGAAACAAGCTACATCGCATTTCCGACTGACTGGAAAGTAGTTGTTAATGGGAGAGAAAAGACACTGAAATATGAAGTACTAAGGACGAAAATAGAAAAGACCTTGAGAGAACAGGTGGAAATCATTTCAGTGCTGGTCGCTGACAAGGAGTGAAAAAAGACCACCAGGGCATACTAAAGTCAATTTATGAAGCGATAAAAGTGAATGAACGATGATACTAGGTACAGCCAGGATTTTAACCTCGGTAGAGGGTTTAAAACAAATTGATGTTCATTCCAGTCTCGTTATGTTTGATGTAGTGTGACTGAAATAATCATTAAATATATGTAAAAATCTATTAGTACGTTGCAAATAAACCAATGCTGTCTGATATACCAGTACTCCCTGATATATTGCGAGCGCATCAATGTCCAATAATTCAAGCAGCAAATTTCATCACAGTACAAAATATTATCAATATTTCTCTAATCTCATTGTGTAAATGCTTCAAAAACTTGAGAAACCGTCCACCAACGAGCATCTGATAAAGCTGTCTAAGGTTCATCGCCAATACAGTAGACTTGGCGACGGAATCTTCATGCAAATTTAATTGCTTCCACTTTGCGTATTACGCAAGATGCCAAGTATAAAAAGAATTTACAAAAATATACGGCCATTCGCAATACCGCAAAAAATTTACAGTAGGTAAGAATATAGAGTACATAAAAACTGCTAATATGTCCGTGATGGTAAACCGCACACATATGCTCCATTTACCACTCAGTGCAATGAACAATTCACAATGTGCCAATTGATTAACCAAGAAATCTGATCCGTAGAAACTCTCTACCTCATAGGCGAAGAAGCGTTCCGCCTACTGGAACATGCGAGCGCTAAATGATGATGGTCAACTGGACGATGCCGCCAGAAAAGCAGCGCGAGGCAAGATGGAGATTTTAACAATCTCACAGAAGCACATATAAGGCGAAGGTCAAAAACGATTTGAAGACGTGGCAGTTTCACTGGTTTGGTAATCCGCCTAAGACATATCAGTCGACCCCTGGTTGTGGAAGGTCTTATTTTAATTCAGGTGCATGAGC